GTCGGTCAGTCAGTCAGTCAGTCAGTCAGTCAGTCAATACACTTTTCAGTACTATTATTATCAGTACACACACACACACACACACACACACACACACACACACACACACACACACACACACACACACACACACACTCGGCTGTAGTGCACGAGGGAACTACACCTTGAAACGACCTGCAGTCCTAAACTTTTTCTGTCGTAATTTATCATCTTAGTGGGGCTGTGGCAGGCAGGAGGAGGTTACAGCATCTTACAGCGAGCGCGGGGGGTTTGAGTTGAGGATACAGTGGGTTACAGGATCGCCGGGGGTGGGGGAGGATGTTACAGGGGTTACAGTGAGCGCAGGGGGTGGGGAGGAGGTTACAGGAGCTTGTGGGTGGGGAGGAGGTTACAGGGGGTTACAGTGACCTCAGGGGGTGGGGGAGGATGTTACAGGGGTTACAGGAGCGCAGGGGTGGGGGAGGAGGTTACAGTGAGCTTGGGTGGGGAGGAGGGCAGGGGTTACAGTGACCTCAGGGGGTGGGGGAGGATGTTACAGTGGGTTACAGCGATCGCCGGGGTGGGGGGAGGAGGTTACAGTGAGCTTGTGGGGTGGGGAGGAGGTTACAAGGGGTTACAGTGAGTGCCGGGGATGGGAGAGTAAGTTACAGGGGGTTACAGTGAGTGTGTGGGTGGGGTACAGCTTCTTACAGTGAAGACAAGGGAGGAAGATTCAAAGGCGATGTCAGATTGAAGTACAAGTACAACATTAAGTACAAGGACGGGTTCCATAAACAAGTGCAAGGACGGGTTAAAGTACAGTAAGGAAATAATACTCTGACTACACTAACCGTTAAAAGCACTTACTTCCGCCAACCTAAAAAATGAACCGGACTCACGTATACACACACACACACACACACACACACACACACACACACACATACAGACGGACTCACATTCACGCACGGACGCATTCACGGACGTTTAAGGAAACAAATGATGCCTGGTTTTATTTTATTATAATTAATTAATTGTTTTTGGTAATTATTATTTTTACGATTAATTATTAGTTTTTAATATAATAATTTTATATTAATTACTTGTGTATTTCTAACTAATTGAATGGTAGTTGTTGTTATATTGTACTTTTATTATTAAACTATGCGGTATATTTAATTATACGTTATTCTGATAATTAAATAGTTTTTTCGTAATTGTTTTGTGAGTTACATTTTTATTGTATTTATTTTTTGTTCGACTGTATTTTTGGCCATCAATCTGTATCGTGAGTGTAATTTAGTCGTTGTTGATAAAAAGTTAGTTTTAAACAATATAATTCCTACACACACACACACACACACACACACTCTACCTGGGCATGAAAACACAGGTAACAAGGCTTAATTGATACAGGTACCTAACGGAATTTCTATGTAGTCTTTTTTTTTTGGCCAGGTGAAGCATGACTCAGAGGTGAGGTTAGGTTAGGTTAGTTAGACTAGATTAGGGCATATTAAGCTGAGGTTAGATTAGGTTCGCATTAGGGTGTATCTAATCTTCATGTAATCTCGTATATAATTAACCTGTATTTAAGGTAAGTGAGATGAAATATACCAAGACATTACTGTTCTCGGCAACGTTATGACACCGCTCTCCTGAAGGTGCTATATCAGGCTCGAGATGGGAGGCGGGTGGAGGGAGGAAGGAGGGGGAGTGAGTGAGAAGGAGACTGAAAGGGAGGGGGGGAGGGAAGATGGTGGGATAGGAGGGAATGAGGGAGAGAGGTAGAGAAGGGTAGAGTGAAGGAGACTGAGAGGGAGGGAGGGAAGTGAAAGGGTGGGGGGAGAGGGAAGGGATAGAGGGAATGAGGAGAGGTAGAGAAGGAGGCTGAATGGGAGGGGGGGAGAGGGAAGGTGGTGGTTAGAGGGAAGGACAGAGGAGGTAGAGAAGGGTAGAGTGAAGGAGACTGAGAAGGAGAGAGGAGGGAAGGAAGGTGGTGGGATAGAGGGAATGAGGGAGAGAGGTAGAGAAGGAGGCTGAAAGGGAGGGAAAGGTCAAACTGTGTGTTGTGATGTATGGCTACTGAACTATGTAAGAGCAGCACAGTGCAGTACCTGCCTGCTGGGGGAGCAGGTGGTGAGGTGGATAGATCAACAACACCTTACCTGTACTGTATCCTGCTGGGGGGAGGGGGCAGACGAGCAGACGGCCAAATTGGTGACTTAAGTTGAGAGAGAGAGAGAGAGAGAGAGAGAGAATGTTGTTTGTCTGTTTTTCCTGTACTCAAGTTGTCATTGTACTAAGGGGTTAAGTCATTGTACTAAGGGTTAAGTACTAAGGGGTTAAGTCATTGTACTAAGGGGTTAAGTCATTGTACTAAGGGATTAAGTTATTTGAGGGAGAGAGGGATGTGGAGAGTGGAGAGCAGGATGGAGAGTGTGGTGGTGGGGGGGAGGAGGTGGTGGTGGGGCGAGGGAGAGTGTGGTGGGAGGGAGAGGGGTGGGTAGGGGGTGGGGGGAGAGGTGTGGTGGTGGGTGAGGGTAGAGTGTGGTGGTGGGGGGAGAGGGGGTGGGGTGAGGGGAGGTGTGGGGGGTGAGGGAGAGTGTGGTGGTGGGTGAGGGAGAGGTGGGGTGGTGGGGTGGAGGGAGAGGTGGGGTGGGAGAGTGGTGGTGGGTGAGGGAGGAGATGGGTGGGGGGGAGGGGAGAGTGTGGGGTGAGGGAGAGTGTGTGGTGGTGAGGGAGGTGGTGTGGGGGAGGGAGGTGGTGGGGGGGAGTGTGGTGGTGGGGTGAGGGAGGGTGGGGGTGGGGGGGAGGGGAGGGAGTGGTGGGGGTGAGGGAGAGTGGTGGTGGGGTGAGGGGTGGTAGGGGTGGGAGAGGTGGGGGTGAGGGAGAGGGGTGGGTGGGGTGGAGGGGAGAGGTGGTGGGGTGAGGGAGAGGGTGGGGGTGGGGAGGGAAGGGGGTGGGGTGAGGGAGTGTGGTGGTGGGGTGAGGAGAGGGTGGGTGAGGGTGGGGTGAGGTGAGAGTGGTGGTGGGGTGGGGAGGTGTGGTGGAGGGGTGGGTGAGGGTGGGGGAGTGTGGTGGTGGGTGAGGGGAGGTGGGGGGTGAGGGAGAGTGGTGGGTGGGGGTGAGGGAGAGGGTGGTGGGGGAGGGAGAGGGTGTGGGGTGAGGGAGAGTGGGGGTGTGGGGGAGGGGTGGGGGTGAGGGAGAGTGTGTGGTGGTGGGGGTGAGGGGAGAGTGTGGTGGTGTGGGGAGGGAGGGTGGTGGGTGAGGAGAGTGTGGTGGTGGGTGAGGGAGTGTGGTGGTGGGGTGAGGGAGATGGTGGTGGGGTGAGGAGAGGGGTGGGGGTGGGAGGGGAGTGTGGTGGTGGGGGGTGGAGGGAGTGTGGTGGTGGGGGTGAGGGAGAGGTGGTTGGGGGTGAGGGAGGTGGTGGTGGGGGTGAGGGAGAGTGTGGTGGTGGGGGTGAGGGAGAGGTGGTGGGGTGAGGTGAGAGTGTGGGTGGTGGGGGGGTGGGGAGGGAGAGTGTGGGGTGGGGGGGAGGAGGTGTGGTGGGTGAGGGAGAGGGGGGTGGGGGTGGGGAGAGGTGGGGTGGTGGGTGAGGGAGAGGTGGTGGGGGTGAGGGAGAGTGTGGTGGGGGTGAGGGAGAGTGGTGGTAGGGGGAGGGAGAGTGTGGTGGTGGGGAGGGGAGAGTGTGGTGGGGGGTGAGGGGAGAGTGTGGTGGGGGGTGAGGAGAGTGTGGTTGTGGTGGGAGAGGGAGAGTGTGGTGGTGGTGGGTGAGGAGAGTGTGGGGTGGGGGGAGGAGTGTGGGAGGGAGAGGTGGGGGTGGGGGTGAGGAGAGTGTGGTGGTGGGGGGGTGAGGAGAGTGTGGGTGGGGGTGGAGGAGTGTGGTGGGGTGGGGGGTGGGGAGGGTGAGGGGGGGGTGGGGTGAGGGGTGGGGAGGGAGAGGTTGTGGTGGTGGGGTGGGAGGAGAGGGTGGGGGTGAGGGAGGGTGTGGTGGTGGGGGTGAGGGGAGAGGGTGGTGGGTGAGGGAGAGTGTGGTGGGGGGTGAGGGAGAGTGGGGTGGGGTGGGGGGTGGGGAGGGGAGGGGGTGGGGGTGGGGAGGTGGTGGGGGTGGGGAGAGGGGGTGGTGGTGGGGTGGGGAGAGTGGTGGTGGGGGGGAGGAGAGTGTGGCGGTGGGGGTGGAGGGAGAGGGGGGGTGGGGGTGAGGGAGTGGGTGGTGGGGTGAGGGTGAGGGAGTGGTGGGGTGGGGGGGTGTGGTGGGGGAGGGAGAGTGTGGTGGTGGGGGGTGGGAGGGAGTGGGGAGGGGAGGTGGGTGGTGGGGGTGGGGAGGAGTGGGTGGGGTGGGGAGGTGGTGGGAGAGTGTGGTGGTGGGGGTGAGGGAGAGTGGTGGTGGGGGGGGTGGGGGTGAGGAGGTGGTGGTGGGGGTGGGGGGTGTGGGTGGGGGGGTGGTGGTGGGAGGTGTGGTGGGGGGTGAGGGGAGGGGTGGTGGTGGGGGTGAGGGAGAGGTGGTGGTGGTGGTTTTCTTACACTCTCTGTGGTCAGTCACACCAATGAAGAGGGCCATTAGATGAGAGGGTGAGGAGGGAGGATGAAAGTGGATGAGAGGGAAGAGGCAAACCATCTGTGAGAGAGGGGGGGGGGGAGAGAGAGAGAGAGAGAGAAGTGGTCTAAGGAAAAAACACACACACACACACACACACACACACACACACACACACACACACACAACGCTGCGCCACAACTCTGCATTAAACACTATTACATGACAAGTCGATCTGAACGTTTTAATAAATGAAAACACAACAACCATGAGTCAATCTCTTCTGGACGGGCGGGCGGGGGGCATGAAGGGGAAGGTTAGTCGTTCATGAAGCAAGTGACACCAAGAAGTAGGTAGCACCAAAAATAAGTATCATAAAGCCATGCAGTAGCACCACGAAGCAAGGAACATCATGAAGCGAGTGATGTCATGAAGCAAGGTAGCAACATGAAGCAAGGAACATCATGAAGCGAGTTACATCATGAAACAAGTGACACCATGGAGCAAGCAACTACACGAAGCAAGGAACATCAGGAAGCAATTAACTACACGAAGCAAATACATCATGAAGCAAGAAACAATCATGAAGCAAGCAACTACACGAAGCAAGAGACATCATGAAGCAAGAAACACCATAAAGCAATCAACTACACGAAGCAAGGACATCATGAAGCAAGGAAGCAAGGTTAGCATCATAGCGCGTAGGAGGTACAAGGCGCCTCTCACAAGTATTCAAGAAGAAGACCAAATTTCTTCCCACGCCTTATGACTTAACAACTGCCCCGAACCACACACCTTCTGCCTCTGTGTGTGTGTGGTGTTTTTCTTGTTTTGTTGTGTTTATCTGATTTATGTTTGTTTGTTTGATTGAATTAGTTGTGTTTTTTTTTTATTTGAGAGAGAGAGAGAGGGGGGGGGGGGGGGGGGAGAGAGAGCCTTGTATTCGTCGACTACATAATTGACCACACCAAAATAGGTTCTATATTCTCCAGTCACCAATTCACAACAGCCACCCTCACCGATGGCTTTCATTGTGCTATATTGGTCATGTTGCTGGGGGTGATGAAGAGGAGGGGAGGGGGGGAAGGGGATAGAGAAGGCGAAGGAAAGAGCGAAGTGGAGCAGCTGGGAGAAAGGTGATAGAAGAGGAGATAGGGGAAGGGGAGAAGTTGGGAAGGGAGGGAAAGAGGAGGGGAGGGAGAGGGGGAGGCGAGGGAAGGAGAATGCAGTAGAGTAAGAGAGGAGGTGGTGGTAGTAGGGGTAGTACACACACACACACACACACACACACACACATACACACACACACACACACACACACACACACACAACACACAGACACACACACACATACACACACACACACACACACACACACACACACACATACACACACACACACCTACACACACACATAAACCTTCACAATGTATGTATGTATGTATGTGTATGTATGTATACCCCTGTCTCCTACTGAGTAATTACCATCACCAGTTGTTCTTTCTCTCCTCTAAATGACTCCATCTACATGTTGAAGTACCCTGGTATATCTATCTCCACCTCCTCTCTCCATCTCTCCTCCTTCCTTTTTTCTTCCTCCTCCTTCCCTTCCTTCCTTCTCCCTCCTCTTCCTCCTTTCTTATCCCTCCTCCCTCCATCCGTCCTGCTCCCTCCCTCCTCTCCTACCCTTTTCATCACCCTTACCACCCTCCATCGCCCCTCCTTTCCTCCTTCAACCTGCAACCTGTAATTCTCTCCCATAACCTGTAATTCTCCTCCATAACCTGTAACTCTCCCCCATAACCTGTAATTCTCTCCCCATAACCTGTAATTCTCCCATAACCTGTAATTCTACCCATAACCTGTAATTCTCCCCCATAACCTGTAATTCTCCCATAACCTGTAATTTCCCCATAACCTGTAATTCTCTCCCCATAACCTGTAACTCTCCATAACCTAATTTCCATAACCTAATTCTCTCACCCATAACCTGATACCTCTCCCATAACCTGTAATTCTCCCCATAACCTGTAATTCTCTCACCCATAACCTGTAATTCTCCCCCATAACCTGTAATTCTCTCACCCATAACCTGTAATTCTCTCCCCAGGTCCCCAATTACTGCTAGGTAGACAAGGGGTTAATGGTGTCAAGAAAATTGTCCATTGTTTTAACCTCTCTTACATGGGGATCGAACCCGGGACGACTCACCTGCACTGTACACTATACACCTGACCACCTCCGACCTTTGACCTTATTGCATTGATATCACTAATTACGGTGTGTGACCTACATATTGATCGGATCACCTGAATATTAATCACCCGAATGCTTACCTGATTTGATCTAATCTAATCTAACCTGACACTAACCTAACTTAACCTAACACCCAAGATAGCGTTAGGGTAACAGGTGAAATAAGCAGGTGGGCTAATCTTCAGGTGAAATAAGCAGGTGGGCTAATTCAGGTGAAATAAGCAGGTGGGCTAATCTTCAGGTGAAATAAGCAGGTGGGCTAATCTTCAGGTGAAATAAGCAGGTACACCAGGTGATACAACTATTTGAAATTCACACAACAATTTGGGGGAAAAAGTTGACGATCAAATATTACTGAAAAAACAAAAAACAATAACAATTAAAAAAAACAGGAGAGGATGATCGGCTTAGGCAATCAAACATTCTATATGTGTACAGAGAGAGAGAGAGAGAGAGAGAGAGAGAGATACTGTAATATATTTTAAGCTACCACTAACCTACCTAACATAACACAACCTGTTTTTACTATCAGATATTCACAACACAACCCCTGCTGCTGACTTGATATCTCTCTCTCTCTCTCACACCAAGCAGGGTAACGTTGTCTCTTGCTCACTATCTCTCGCCCCACCGTGTAATTTTAACAGCATTAACACCGACCGTTCCCAGAAGAGAGAGAAGAGGAAAGAAAGAGAGAATGAGAAAGAGAGAGAGAGAGAGGAAACAAGGAAAAGAGAAGGAGAGAATAAGGAGGAGAGAGTGAGGAGACAGTAGAGGAAAGAATGGGGAGAAAAGAAAGAGTGAAGAGAGAGAGAGAGGAAAGAATGAGGAGGAGATGGGAGAGGGAGTAAAGGTGTGTGTGTGTGTTAACTTAGACTCTCTCTCCACCAACTTAAGTCACCAATTTGAGCGCCTGCCGTATTGACCTTCCAATAAATAAAATGAAAAAAAAAATAAAATAAATAAAAATAAATACTCCCCATTCATTGTTATAGTCACTTAAAAGTTGTGTAACCATACCCTGTATTCATCCCCATCTCCCCCCCACCCCCACCCTCAGGTAGTTACTAATTTCCCTTGAAGGTTAACCTGCCCCAGGGTATTATTCTTTCTGGTACACATTATTTTTTTTCCCCGGCCGCAAGTTTTGTTGTACTGCGGGTCATTTCCATAAGGGCGACGACAGGTTAAAACTTAATTAAGACTTTTAAGGTGGGTTGAACTTGCCCTTTTTACCTGTATGCAAATTATTTTCTGGTTGATTTTTTAGAGAGAGGGTGGGGTGGAGGAGGATGGGGGGTGGAGGGCGAGAGGGATGAGGGAGGGAAGGGTGAAGGGGAAGGAAGGAGATGAAGGTATCCAGTTATTGTTGTGTTGTTGTCCACGTCTTCATCTTCGTCACCCACGTCTTCATCTTCGTCACCACCTTCATCACCCACACACCACCTTCATCACCCACATCATCCACCTTCATCACCCACATCATCCATCTTATACAGAATAAACGCCAAACTTTTAATGAATTTTCTCCTCAAAGTAGATATTTGGCCATGACGAAAATACACCGTCTCTCTTACTCTTGTTTACAGTCTTAAAAAAAAAATGAGTAATTCTGTTATATTTTTAAAGACTTTTTTCTTCTGGGTGGTAACAGGTTGGGTGACGTGAGGGTTAAAACTAATTATATTATGTGGGTTTTTTTTTCGTTGTAATATTAGGATGGTTTAAGTTTTATTCTGTGACGTTTTGTTGTATTTTATATGAGGTGGGTGTTAGGGTTTTCTGTGTGTGTGTGTGTCTGTTCGTGTCTGTGTGTCTGTCTGTCTGTCTTTCTGTGTCATAGTAAGAAGATTGAAGGACGAAACCGTAGACTATCATTCTCTCTCTCTCTCGGTGCAGTACTGTAGTAGGTGTCCCCCAGCTGCTGTAGGGAGGTAATGAAACAAGGACCACCTCACATAAACACGTTCATTGTTTCTCCAGTAAGAAAAACAAACAACGAAAACAAAACAAAAAACATTTCCCTTGGGTGTCAAAATGGTGTAGTTGTTTCATTTGAAGTGCACCGTAGTCCTCCTCCCTCCTCCCTCCCCACCCTCCTCCCTCCCTCCCTCCTCCCTCCTCCCCTCCTCCTCCTCCCTCCCTCCTCCTCCCTCCCCTCCTCCCCTCCTCCCTCCTCCCCTCCCTCCTCCCTCCCTTTCCCTCCTCTCCTCTCTTTCCCTTTCTCCCCCCTCTCCCCTCTCCTTCCATTCTCGTTCTCCTCACCACCTCGCTCCCCCCTCCCTCCTCTCCTGCTCTCTTCCTTTTCTCCCTCTTCTTTCCCTACATGTCTACCTTTCTTCCTCCCTCCTCCCTCTCTTACTCCCCACTTCCCTCCTCCACCTCCTTCTAAATGTAACCTCTCTCCACCTTTTCCTTCATCTCCTCCCTCCCTCCTTTCTAAGCTTCCTTTCTTCCTCTTATTCATTTTCCTCTATCTTCCCCTCCTCTCCCACCCTTCCGTTCCTCCTACTCCTCCACCACTTCCTCTTCTCTTCCTTCCTTCCTTCCTTCCTTCCTTCCTTCCTTCCTTCCTTCCTTCCTTCTCCTTCCTTCTTCTTCCTCTACCTTCCAACCACATTTTAAATTCCATTGCTTGTTTTGTAGTTCCTTAACGTTGTTATGCCCCGTAGTGATAGAGTTAATGACGATACAATTGCTAGTGTGCTGTGCTTGTTTTGCCTCTGTTTGTATGTTTGTTTTGATTTGTTGTTTCTGGTTTACGTGTTCTGTATGGTCAACCTGAGAGAAACACACACACACACACACACACACACACACACACACACACACACACACACACACACACACCCACAAACATTAAAAAAAATCCCATTATTTTTACATCACACTAGGCAAGACTCACTGCCTCACCCACCACCCACTTTACAGCACTCTGCTCTGTGTCTCCTGATGGGGACGACTCGCCTCCTACAGCCACCAGACGACGTAACATTAATCTCACATTGCCCATAAAAAAACCTTGGTGCAGGAGAACGCCAGGCGGTGTTCATTGCTCGTATTGGTGATGTTTGTTTGCCTCACGTGCTTCAGATTCTGTTTGTCTGTGTGTGTGTGTGTGTGTTTGTTGTTATTTTTTTCCTGTTTTGTATAGTTGTATAGTTATATAAGTCCTTTAGTGAGATTTAGCGTAGAACTTTAAAACAAAAATCATAATAGCCGCACCGTCCGTAGCCACTGAGCCAGCCAGCCACAGCTCCGAACAGGATGCAATATGTTGGCTGGTCTGGAAGAGCTCTCCCAACCCTTGTATGTTGTTTTGTTATAACGCATCACAACATACAACCATGACTTAATACAACCATGACTTAATACAACCACGACTTTAATACAACCATGACTTAATACAACCATGACTTAATACAACCATGACTTATTACAACCACGACTTA